GAAGGGGTCTGCGTGGGGTGGGGTGGGGTGGGGTGGGGGTGGCGGGCGTGGAGCTTCCCCGGGGGAAGGGGAGGAGCACCGCGCAGTCGGCTGTGCCCTTTTTGCGGTTTGAGCAACAGAGCCTGCTTCCCCCCTCAGGAATGTGTTTGTTCGGAAGTATGGCGGTGGTCACCAGGAACCGGTTTTAGTGCTGAAATGGAAGAAAAACCCCTCCTTTTTCTTCCGACAATAAACTAAAAATTGACGAAACTTGTAAAACTCTTCCCTCCTGGGAGACAGGGTTATTTCTTGTCAGGAAGTTCGTGATAAAGCAGCTACTACAAGCTTGGGATTTCAGGATATCTAAGAATCTGCTTGAAGCTCAGGCGTTACTGTGCTCTGCCTAGCGTTTAATTCTGTTTATTTTTTTCGTTCTGCATCACTTCCTTGATGATAGATGGCCAGAAATGGAAACCCTCGACTAGTGAGGTTTTAGTTACCAGCCTGCACTAGCTTTATGTGTTTTTGTTCATTTTTGTGTGGTTGATTTTGTAGGCTCTTCAACTTTAATATTTGAAAAGTTAAGCTGCCTTACCCAGCAGGGTGGAGGAGGGTCCAGATTGTGAATATCATCATGCAAAACCTGAGCCCTACCTTTTTGCCTTCTTGCATGTATCTCATTCAATAATTGACAAAATGTCACACTTTCATTTACTTAATTTTTTTGTCTATTAAGTACAGTATTGCTTCAAAATAAAAAGTGTCTGTTTTAAGAAGTGTGTGTATAAAAAGTGTATATATAACATGACTAGGTTCAAGATGGTTCAGACATTTAAAACAAAATGGTTTTAGAGGAGTATGCACAGCTTCTGAAACATACACAAAGGAGTGGGACAGGAAGCAGCGTAGCTGACATCATGTATTAAGCCTTTTCACGATAGGTCTTATGTACGGATGTAGATGTGCTTGAGAGCTACAATCTATTTCATGATCCTGTAGTTTGTCACATTTCCTCATTTTTTCTATTCTTAACTGTTTCTCTTTCAAATTGTAATTATATTTATTTCATTTTCTTACACAGTGCTAAGAAAGTAATTCCAAAGTGGGTCAGACTATGGCCTTGGAAAGGATAACACAAAAGGACTGGTACAAAATTCTGGGTGCACAGCCATCGGACAGTCCGGCAGAACTAAAACGAAAGTACCAAAAACTTGCTTTATTAGTAAGTATGTTTTTCTTATTTAAGATGTGCAAAAATAAATTTTATAAACCAAGAAGATAATAATTGCAGGTTTTGTTGTTACATGTTTTGTATAAATATGATTATCAGAGTATGTTTATAACAACAGTTTACTGAGGATGGTTTAAATTTGAAATAAACATCTGGAGTTTAGGAGTTACTGTATTTTGCAAAGCAGGGTTGTGGTGTTCTGGTTCCAAAACACTGATATGTCTCCCAGCTTTGCTGAACGTTCATGAATGAACCGAGCCAAGTACTTGTTCATCAGGTGCTGGATAATCAGGCATGCAAGTCAAAAAAGATCATTGTTTGCAGCACATTGTCGTGAAATGTGCTGATTAATACTTGTGGTGGTTACTATCACGCATGCAGTTACAGTGTGCTCCGTGCAACCCTTGAGTATGTAAAGACCAGATGCAAAGAGCAAAAAGAAGTTCTTCCTGATAGTCTACGGTAATGGAGTAGAAAATGTATAGGAGGACAATACGTTTATATCAATTTAGGCTTTATTTGAAGGTTTCAGGTGCATTTTTGTGGAGTTATGTTTTTTGGTCGTGCATTAAGGCTTGATGTTCTGTGAATTCTCTTACTTTTTCCTGTACCCCTGGTGTATGTGTTTGAGAATCTCAGAGCTTTACCAGATTATTTTGTGTAATTCCTGATTCTTCTGTTGTACGCTTTTCCCCTGAATTCAGGTTTGTGGTTTTTTTTCCTCAGAAGATGCTTTGTCTGGAGTTTCTGAGGAAAATGGGGTATGTTTTTTTTTATACTGTTGACCATTTTCAACCAAATTTGGTAGACAAATAGAAGTCTCAAGATAACTAAATTCCTAAGTTTCTTGAAAACTGGCAACCTGGTAGAGAAGAAGGAAGAAGGCGAGCAGAACTCCGTTCTTATACGCTCCTTTAGGTAGCGGCTAGCTAGACTGTCAGTG